TTGCCAAGCGACGAAAACCCAATCCCGATGGCAAACACCGGGGGGGGCGGCTTGTTTTACAACGTCGTTGCCAAGCGACGAAAACCCAACCCCGATGGCAAACACCGGGGGGGGGGAGGGGGGGGGGGGCGGGATATATGACTTTCGCTGTACAGCGTTCATAGACTGTATGTCGTTGGCTTGGAAAATTGTTGCCTCTTACCGTCGGCAGCAACGCAGCAGCCTGCATTCCATCCAGTATCTATAATCGTGTACGCACAGACCGCGTGCTCACCTAGGATGGAAATATGTCCTCAGGCCGCGGAAGAGCGATACGAGGTTCAGCGCTCCAGGAGAAACCGTTCTTTGGACGCCACGTTCGTGGCCGTCTTGAGCGCCGCCGATGCCTTCCCCTGCCGGGGGAACGATTGACACATCTGACACTTTAACAACTTCTGCCGATCCACCCTTGCCGAGCAGGAACACCATAAACTTCGACAGCTTCTTGAGCTTCGTCCCGCGAGAGGTAGAGCCCGTCGGAGCGAGCACGCCATACTGGTAGGCCACTCGCCGGCTCCTTATGGGCGGGGCCGAACCTGCATCGCCCATGGATACCGGCGTGTGGATGCTTGCGCGAGCGGAGCTGTAAATGTCCGCCATGTACGGGGTCCAATCGAACGAAGCGGAGGCGTACTTTCTCGCACGACACAGGAGGGTCAGCCAAGCTCCGTCCCACGCTGGACAGTGGTCGACTTGTCCCCAAAGACTGAAAAAAGAACGGAGAAAGAATCGGGGACCAAGTAAAACGAAGATATTTATTATTGGCAAGGGCGGGCGGGTGCGATGAGTTTGGCGAAATGAAACATCGCTAGGGGGGGGGATAGAGGCTCTTAGCACACCAGCGTCATACGTCCAGATGCGTGCCACAAAAATGAAGGGGGTACGCGTTTTCATTCACCGTTGTGCCTGAAACAAGGACACCTCCTGACAAAGGCGGCTCATGGCAACCCAACAGACTTTGCCGCGGAAGGAGTGAAGCAAACGATAACCGTTCTAGAAATGTTCAACGAAAGGGGATAAGCGGACAGAGCGCACAACGTAACTCAGGATGCGAGATGGGCAACATCGCATTCCTATCTCACCTGAACCAAGAAGGCAGAAGTTCGTCAAAGAGGCTTGAGCGAGCGGACGGCATGAACGCAACAAACAGATAGAGCGCTTTGAACGCGCCTTGCGCGTGCACCTGGGCTATCTCCTCCTTGAACTCGTCCCAGATCTCGCGATCCGCGCCAGGGCCCCAGTAGCGCCGCGCTCGCCGGAGCAGATACTGCAGCGCGAGCAGTCTGGATCTCTCCGTCATGTTCGAGCCAGTCGGGAAGCCTCTCAAAGCGCACGCTTCGAGGGCGGCCAGCATCGGGCGCCACGGCAGCACCAGTCTTTCAGCGAGCGAGAGCCGGCCTTGCTTTTGGCCCAAAAGCGACCCCAGGGCGAGCATGGCCTTGTTGCTGCACTGCCACGGCAGAGGCTTCCCCTCGCCTTCCGCGGGAAAGGTTAGACTGTACAGCGACTGCGCAATGAGCAGCCTCGAGGAGTCGTCGACGGCGTACTTCAGCCACCGCATCCTCGTCAAACCTGTCCACACACACATGCGACACGAGTGCGTCGGTCACCATTAGGACGCAATACGCTTGTTCGTGCACACAACGCGGGAAAATGACGAAGAAGATGCAGAACAAGACCATGGATTTATCTGTGAAAATGTGAAAAGAGGAAATTATCCATGACAGACGGAGGGGAGATGTGACCCGTTAGAAAGGTTGATTCATCTCAACACATCACCTCACCACATAACTACATAGCTCCCAGATTCGAGAAAGGCCTATCGCAGCCCCATCGTTGTAGTTTCAGCCAACCAAGTTTTCCATATCTAGTTCGTGGGCATGGTCATAAACTCATCAGCTTAACCTTAGGTACAAGAGGAACCCGAGAGAAAGGCACCAATGAGGCAGATCACTGCCAACCAAATCGTGCATCTGTGTGCATTGGAAGATCACCGTCAAGCCCCTGTCATTATTGGCACCGGCGCAACTTTTCTGGTAGGGGTCTAGACTACATATCCGCCGTCCCTCTGGTCAGGGAGTGTTGTATTGTTGTGGTTCGATCTCTCGGAAACCTCGGTGTTTCTGATATTAAAACATCATCACAAATGCATACAAATGAACAGGAACTCATTTGGAGGCCTGATGGTTCTGTGGAATTCAAAACGGTCCTAAACCACTTGTACTCGTTCGTAGACTGCAGCAGGTGCGGTACTTTCGTCTGCTTGTGCATCAAACAGGTCAAGTTTGCCGCAAACCATGGGTGGGGAGGAAAATATGAACAAGATTGCGCGAAATTTACAACGTGCGCCCTGGTGCTTTTGTCCTTTTCCTTGCAAATACTACTTCGGTATCAACAGGGGTGCATACGTCAATGGGTTTACGCCGACGAGGTGGCACCCCACACGAACCTCTCCTCATTGCACAACAGGTGTCAGACCTGCTGTTGTGGAACGGACGGACTGGCTCTGTTAGCGGTGCAAACATGTTGTGCACCTGAACACGCTTGGAGGACTCGTCGAACGTCGCCATGGACAGCAAAGGAAGCAAGGGCTTCTTTGACTTCGGACAGAAGATGCTCGTTCTCTGCAGGAAGCCTTTCCTTGTAGGGTAGCTCAGCATTGAAGCGGTGAACAACGCCGTCGCTATTGGCGACGTCCATAGTGAATAGTGCTGCTGTAGCAGAAGCACAGCATCAAACGTCGAGTTCACGGTTGACGCGAGGTCAAAACAGCTGTGGCGTTGTTCCAACAAAGACTGTTGCTTGGTCGGTTGTATACTGCGCCTGCGGAGTTTCGTTGTGGTAGTGTGTGCAGGACAGGTGCAGATGGTGCTGCTGGGCTGTGCAGCAGCACACAGAGTTCGGTAGATGGGTCACCACAGACAATATTTGGGAAGGGTATGTGCTGCCTCTGCCGTCCCCCTCTCTTTTTTTTTGGCCTTCTCGGCTTGCCAGTTGCCGCTCTCCTTTGTCTTCCCTGCAAGAGCGTTTCCTTGAACAACACAAGGGAGAGACAGAGAGACAGAGAGACAGAGAGAGAGACCAAGAAGGGGAACGAGAAGAGGTGAGAGACGAGGATTACAGTTGGTAAGAATCATGGCCCGTACCTTCGCTCTCGTGGCATGCCTTGTGGCGCTTATCGCCCAGGCCTCGTCCTTCATGATCGGGCCGGGGGCCGGGGCAGCCGCAACCATCAGAGCACAACGCCAGGGAGCTGCCGTATCGGGCTTCACAGGGTGCAACCCGGTGTGCCAGCGCGACGCGACGATGGACCGCAGCGCTTTGCGAATGATGGTGAGTCATTTTACGCTTTCAAACCGCGAGAAACGTTGCCAGCAAAAGGAAAATGATATGTTTGGCCCCCAACCGCTCGTCTACGTGCCGCACGCATGTTAAGTGTGAGGTTGAAGGGAGAAGTGGTACGCGTGTGTCGGCGACAAGGTGTACTACATAGGCACGTCATAGAGGGTTTATAAGTTTGTTGTAGAATGTATCTGGAATCACTCGGTAGAGCCCGTGCTTTGGTGCAGGGTGCACGAGTGTGCGAGTGACGGATGTCACGAACAACATACGCCGACTGGAGAGAGAACAACCGCACACCCGTCAGCACCTCAGCACAACTGACTCTGCTGCTGTGGTTCACCCTCAAAGCAGATGAGTCATATTTTGACATGCACTCAACGAGGCAGATGTGGAGGAAATGCGGTATTCGCCAACAACAGCGCTACTTGCACGACCATCGAGCGCTTGTTGCAAACGAAGAGACAAGATGACGATGGCGTTGAGTGCATGTACGATTGATTAAGGTCGTCAAAGGCAAAGATGGTCTAGGTGGTCTACTAATGCTGCACTTCAAGCATCAATAGTTAAATAACATGTACAACAGAGTCGCCGTTGACGGCACGCTCATCGCACGTAATGTTCAAACGGGAAGGAACCCAACCCACGGAAAACATCATTACAGGCAACCACGGCAACTGCTGTGTCAGTTATAAAAAAAGTACGCTCGTCCGTCCGCCCCGCATCGAGAAGCAATGCGGGAGCGTGAAGTACGACGTGATCGCCTGTTGCACGACACTTGTTTAGTTTTTGCACTATTACTAGCAACGAACAGCATTTTATATTGCCGTTCCGTGCTTGATTTAAGCAGTACTACTGTTGTACGAGTTCAACAGCTGGCGGCTTCGGGTGCATCCGACCAACCAAGTACCCCTTGTTTGTTGAGAATGCACATGCCATCGCACGAAACAGTGCCCCTTTGAGATAGTTGTCATGGAGGATTTGTTGAGGTGTGTACAAGATGTCTTGAAGAGGTGGCCGCCCACGCGCGCGGCAGAAACACATTTGATTTCGGTTTGAAGTAAAAAGTGGAAGAGCTGGATAAGTCTGGTTGGCTGGGGCATCATTGTTCAAGGAAACCACGTGACGAACAGCAAAACTTTCGTTCTACCGAGAGTTGACTCCACGAGAGCCAACCTGCGGAAAATCGTTTAATCTTTTCTTTCAGATGGTTTCCTGGGCCGTGAGCTTTGTCGTGCCTCGTGTCGTGTGTGAGGTACCCGATAGTGTGCAATTTGGCGAGCACGTGCAGTCATGCGTGTCACGTCGCGCACGCACGTGGTCCAGGTAGTGATGTCGACCACGGTAGGATATATGTGTGCTCCAAAGCTACGGCTTCGTTTGCCAAGAGCCAACGCTTCATAGCAATGCGCGTGACTGCCACCTGTTGTTGCTGCAAATAGAGTCTGCTTGTTCTGCCGCCACGTGCTGCGAGATGGACTGAGTGTGCAGTGTTGTCGCGTCACTTTTCCACCTCTGCCGCCTTTACGGCTTTGTTCATGCGGAAAACGGATCTACACGCCAGCTGGACCTTCCCATCACCCCATGCAGGAGCGGGATGCGTCCGGGCTGTACAGCACTCCCGCGCCCAGTTGTACCTGTACTGGTGCTCCATCCCCGTCGTGTTGTTCTAGAAGTACATTGTTTCCTAAGTTTCCTAATCCTTCCCTCTTGCTCTCGCTCTCGCCGCCGCAGCGCCACAGGAAGGGCTTCAAGAAGCTCAACCTACCGGCGGACCAGCGTAAGGCGCTTTTGCGGGGACTCACGACGCAGGTGACCTTTTACAGCTGTTGGCTGTCTCTCGTCGGCTGGGTATTTAGTTCCACTGCATCTTGTCTTTTGTCAGCCACAGCCACCAGAGTTCGTTGTTATCTCTTGACAACTTTCCCTCGACGCGAACGTCGTTTTTGCTCCATTTTCGTCCTATTGCCGCACAAATATTCCGGCACTAAATACGGTGCGTCCTTCGATGGCGCTCGCGATTTTCGTACATGTTCCGACGCGTCCCACTTGACGGTGCAAGGGTTTCTGGGAGAGTGCGAGGCGGCCAAACCGCCGCTTCAATTCCGTCTATGGTTATCAGCATCGGAGGCTGTCTTTGTGTGAACCAAATATGAACCAAATACGCCAATAAGGGCAAGCTTGATGAAGCCTGCTGCCATAGGCTGGTCGTGGTCTTTTGTCCATGTGGCTTTTGGCTTTGTATTATTGTTCGCCTGGGTGTTGTGTTGTTCACGAAAACCCTTTACTTTTACCGTCAAAGGGTGTACCGCCTGGACGAACGGGTTGATCACACGAGTTCGATGTCGATACGTCTCGACCATGCCCCACCCACGTCGTGGTGCGCCCTCTGGTTTTCCAGATCATCCGCCACGGTCGCATCACGACCACAATGGTGCGGGCCAAGGCTGTTCGCAAGCACGTCGACCACATGATCACCCTCAGCAAGAACGGGTCTCTCCACGCTCGCCGCCAGGTTTGCCGAATTAACACATGCATCTTACCGTACCGGGATCCATTCCATGCGTTGGGACGTTTTTCTATCAGTTGGTGGCCTTGTTGTGATGAGGATGTTCCGTAGTCTTTTCCCATAGACGAGCGAATGGAGAGTGTCGGGCCGTAGCAGCATCGCAACATCCTGCCATTCCTCGTGGGTTGTGGGATTCAACCCTCCCCCCCCATTTCCCCCCCCCCCTCGGTGGTTGCCATCGGGATTGGGTTTTCGTCGCTTGGCAACGACGTTGTTAAACAAGCCAATTCACTTCGTGAACTCGGCAACCAGGTTACCGTTTTTTTTTCTACCTCTGTTTTTTTTTGGCGGTAGCCATAATGGTGGTCGAGTAGATCATGTTGTGCGGTGTGAAGAACCCTCACTCCGCGCAAGGGGGATGATCGCACCACGTTGTGTTAAAATGGTCAAGCACCCTCGAGGCAGTTACACAGTGCTTACAACTGTCTCTGGAAGTGAAAGCACCAGAAAATAAATTAATTCATACGCAGCTGTCATCCGTACGCAAGGAAGTAAGCACAAGATGCCGAACACCCTTAGCAGGATGCAGCGCACCGTTCATGCGACTCGCCCAATATCTCACGGCGCTTCGCGGATGGTCATGTGAGAGCCTGGTCCGGTGAGAACCCGGCGTGCTCCGTCCCGGCTTTGTAGGGATGCGAGGTCAATG